CATTGCTTGATTTTCCAGAAGGATCCCTTGGCCAGACCTTCGTCTTCGGGCACTTAACGCATCAGCTATTGTCTGTTGGTATTGTTTGATTGTTCAATGGCACGTGCTATCCCTCCACCTCTTTGCCCCCTACCCCCAGTCCCCCTCTTAGATTATATTTTGACGTTCACCGTGAAATTTAGTCTTTTGAAAGCATCTCTTACCACAACAACGTTGAAGTTCATGTCTGTGAATAACCGATTAATCCTTCGGACGATACTCCATGACAGCGTTAAAGTGATTCACGACGATCGTTTTCTTGGTTGAATTTCTAAAGTGAATAACTTTCTATATTTTTTTTTCTCTTTCTCTCCCTCTCTCTTTCTGTCCCTATAGAAAATTTTAGTTTAGGATTAAAAGTCTCATTATAAGGGATGATCACAAATAATTTCGTTTATTTCGTTTTTACGTTAAAAAATTGTGTATCATATTTTTTGATGGATTTAAATTTAATACTCTGAATATGGAAATCTTTGTTTTAATTGTTTGTTAAATAATGATGATAGACGAGATTTGTGAGAGATTTCATAGGGAAACTCTTCGTGGAAATATGATCATTCGATGTAGTAGCATCGAATCGTTGCGTTGAATACGCGGTAACCAGATCGAATTAGGGTGAACCGAAAGCAAACCGAATCGAACCAAATCAAACCGAGCACAAATTGCGAAGGGTGAATAGGATCCGCGACATGGTGTACGGATAATGAGCCAATCGGATGGACGGACGGTCGTATCTCTTCTACGTTTACTCTATTCCTCAAGGTCAGTTGATTCAATTCTAATTATTCGTGCAAACATTTTATATTTCATACTTTTTTTCTTTTTTTATTATTATTATTATTATTACGATGCAATTTCGAGCTATCGTATTCGTTAGAACGTTTTTAGAAATTTAAGTATAAAAATTATAAATTGGATAGTTTTTGTGTTACACGAATTGTTCAATTGAATTGAACTATAATTTGGGTTTACAAGGTATTATCTTCTTCTTCTTTTTCTTTTTATTAGGACTTCGACCTGTTATATTTTAGCTATATAGTCTTCTTCAGAGTGTTTCTTGTTCCTGCAACGCTGATGTCCAGCTTTCATGCCACCGTTTTAGAGGTCTTCCAGGTGGTCTCGTTGTTCTTATTTTTTTTTCTGTTTTTACCACTTTCGGCAGCCTACTGTTGTCCATCCTGCCTACATGGTCTCGCTACTTTCTTCTTCTCCTTCTTATCCACCTTACTACATCTTGGGTCTCACATTCTTTTCTTATTTCTTTGTTTCTTCTTCTGTCTCTTAGTGAGTTCCCTGTTATAGCTCGTAGCGTTTTCATTTTTGTAGTTCTCAGGATACATTTTGTTATCGTGGACTCTGCCCTTATCTCTGCCGTGTAGGTCATTATCGGTCTGATGCAAGTTTTGTATATTTGTGTCTTGCTTTTGATGCTCATATGTTTGTTTCTCCATATGGAGAACATACAACATTTGGTTGTATGGTCTCTTACCTCCTCTTCTTGGTTTTTGTCGCTCGTAATTATCGAACCTAGGTATTAAAATCGCATCATTTGGTTGACACTAAGGTTGTATACTGCTAACTTGTATAGTCTGGGCTGCTTGGAGATGGTGAGTGATTTGGTCTTCTGTACCGAAATAGTCATGTTAGGTTTGCTTACCGTTTTTTCGAATTTGTATAACATCCTTTGTAAATCGTCTTCATCTTCAAATATGATGATGACTGATATCTGTGAATGATTCTGATATGATACCTTTTTTCTTCTGTTAGAGTCCTTACTTCTACTTGGAACCAGGGAGTATTATTTCGTTTTGCGTTAGTRTTGCATTTCCTTTTGCCTAGGGCTTCTTCAGTTGCTCCTATGATGTTTGGTTTTAGCTTTTGCCATGTCATCTCTACGTTGTGTGTTTCTAGAATTTTGTTTCCTAATATTTTTTGCTCTAGTCGTCTTTGGTATAAGTATTATAATATCATATTATTAATTAAACGACTAGTTCATAAACATTAGAATACATTTGGTAATTCCATATATATTCACAATTATAAAGTATATATATATATAGCATAAGGGGGAATGTTAAACGTGACACGTCATATTACTGTACAAGCAGACGATATCTTCATTTTGACTTTGGTATGTATTATAGTTGTACAAAATACACAGTAATTTTAATATCTACCTTTCCTTTAATGTACATGGACATGTACTTAAAATCATATTGGGAGACCGAAAAGTTGAAGCTTTAAGTAATGGTCATTTAACAACGAAAGATCATATACGTCATAAAACTAATTTAACTTACACATCCCAAAAGTTAACATTTCTTTTACGAAAAATCTTCCTTCATTATATTTTTCATTTTTATTCCATATATCTAATCTCTTTTCTTTTTTTATTAATACTTTATTCACACGATAAAAATGAAAATGATTTCAATGAATTTCGTTATTATATATACAAAATATTTAATTAATTAATATACGCTAAAAGATAAATTTTTTCAATAAGGAAATATGATTTACAATAATTCTCGAAATTCAACATAGATGCATGATTACAGTTTTTCATAAGGAATGGAAAGAGGGAATAGGAAATGTTGAAGGTTTGGGTTCATTTCAAACATATCTCTGAGTAACTTGAAACATTATTCGAAGGAACCCAGGAGTCGACCACGAAACGCATCCGTTATCGGTCGTAAAGCTAGAATTCTCTCTCTCTCACTCTCTCACTCTCTCTCTCTCTCTGGTCCTTCTCGATCACAATGTGGATCTCTCTGACGCGTATATCTCCAGCTGCACAACGTCGTATCCGTATCTGTCGTAACCTTCGACCTCGGTCCACGTACCATGGGTCCGTGACCACGATCTCTCTCTCTCTCTCTCTCTCTCTCTCTCATTCTCTTTCATTCTCTCTTTTCCCTTACTCTTTCATTTCACCTTTCCATTCCCGTTTGTTTCCTCTCTTCCGTCAAGCAAACTGATGTTTGTTCACACCCTTTTTGGAATATGTGCCCTTCTAGCAATTTCATTGCGCACGAATTTCACGCGCGATATTATATCTATTCGTTTGATTCTCTCTTTTTCAAGCATCGTTCGGTTCAACGATCACACCCATCAAGATCAACGATTTTGATTTATTGCTATCGAGAAAACAAGAGAGAAGAAGAATGAGAAAGAGAGAGAGAGAGAGAAGGAATACGTATTCGATTTCTTCGAATTTTATCCTTCTCCTATTCGTTTGCTATTTCACGATCTGTTCTCTGTTCCCGGTACCTTTTCCTTTGTAAGTAAGAACCTATATACCTTTCCCAATATTCTCTCTCTCTCGGGAGAGAGAGAGAGAGAGAATGTTTTCTTTACGTTGTGGAAAGCTTAGAATAAGTATTATTACAGTTGTCGAAGTAAATTATGACAATTTTATATCTATCTTAGGAATTAATGTATTATTGTATATCGGTGTGTGTGTGTGTGTATTATAGAACGTAAAGTTATAAAAATTATTGGCAAGCACGTAGAACGATTAAAAGAAACAACTTTTGTTAGATATTTTATTCAATTTTTTTTTCATTATGTTTCTTTTTTCTTTTTGTTCAAAACAATTTTTTCCTTGTTCAATTATAAACGTATCATTCGTTAGTCGATTGAATCGAATAATAACAAATATTCGAACGAGCGAACGAAAAAATAAGAGATTCTTTGGGGCTGTTAAAATAAAAAAAAAAAACAAAACAATGGAATATTGACTTTCACCCTCCGTCATTCTTTTTTATTTTTCGTACCATTTCGCTGGGTTTACTCGTTGACAAAATCGCGATGGCGAAGTTTATCGCACACGGTAGGTTCATGGCGGTGCATTAAGTACGGAAATTTCCAACGAGCTTGCTGCTACAACGTATTAACAATTTAACGAAGCGGCACCTGTGACAGCTATTACAACACAATTATAGAGAAAGTGAGAGAGAGAGATAGAGAGAGAGACAGAGAACGCTTACGTTCTCCATATTTTGAAATCTATTCTTAGAAAGTTTGTTTAAAAGTAACACTTATAATACTTAATATTTTATATATACGTATAAATTTGTAAAGATATTCATATATGCATCTTAAAAAGGTAAATACATAAAACAAACAAGGAACTCACTTACTTATTTGGTAAGAAAATTTCTCTACGTTGTGGTTCATTAGATAAAATGCAATATATATGAAAACTAATTTCGCCTATTATATCACGCTAACGAACGAATGAAGAATGAGAGACACGTTGGCCTAATGAATTTTCATTGGCACGCTCGTATATGCGTTGTACGCGACACCGGAAAGAACAAAAAAAAATAAAACAGAGAGTGAGAGGTCGATTTTTGGGATAAAATTGGAAAGAATATTATTAACTTTAACCCGGTAAGGCAAATAAATTCGAAATACGTTGGAACGGTAAAGTGGCAGTGATAAAATAAATCCAAGCGTTAATGGGATTAGCATATCATTATCGAATGACAACAAGGGTTTTCATGTATATAGGTGTATCCATAATATACACACACACATATATATATATATATATATATATATATATACATAAGTTCAATGAATTTTTCATGTGTGATCTCGCATGTAGCGATATAATTTGTCGATTTTTTTTTTCGTAAGATTATTATCAATTGGTCGTGTTTCGTCACTTGTTGAACATCCTTTTATATCCGGTCATAAGGCAATTAGATAACGCGTAGGAAAGTCTGGTTGGTGTATGTGTATATATGTGTGTGTATGGTCGAGGAGGGTAAACGAGCGTGCAGTAGCATCATCTCCTTCTGAAAGCGCGATGCTTTCGAGGGTTGTCAACCCTCATCGTAGCTCGTCGTACGTTCGGGATTCGTTCGGGATTCGTTCGGCATTCGTTCGGTATTCATCGGTACTATTCGTTTCAAGGTGGAAGGGTGGCGCGCGCGTTACGAAGCTTCAGTACGCCTTTGGCCGTCGTACCGTTTGAACGTCATTTTTCGAATCTTCCTCAAACGGCTTTATTCTCCGTTCGGAGTATATATTCGATAGATCACGAGGACTACTTCAGTTTTGTTTGTCTGTCTCTCTGTATAAACGCGTGAATATCTTCGTACGTGTTTTAAAAATAATCACGTTATATATTTATATATATTATATTACTTTTTTTTTTAAAATGTAATTATAATATTGCGTTAATTTGTTATTCGTTATATCGTAAAATAATAATATATATATACTTGTGAAACGTGGAAAATCTTTTTTGGCTCGTAGTTTGTGATCGTAAGGGGTGACCGTCGATGATCGAATTTTTCTTCTCATCTTTTTTTGTTTGTTTTGATTTAATAAATATTTTATATATCATTTGTTTTTTCTTTTTTTCTCTCCTGGTTTATATTCTTGGTTAATTTTAATTTGGAAAATTTTTGTAAACGTTGTCTATATACGATGTGACTCCGATCTCGTGGAGATTAGATTTTTCTTTCCATCTTTCTCTTTTTTTTTTCTTTCTCTTTTTCTCTCTCTCTCTATATATATATGTGCATATATGGTCGCTGCAGAATGTTCGGACACTTTTTTAAATAGAATAAGTTTTTGTAGACTGAGTTAAGTGCTCTGAATTTTTGAGTAGATATGGAGATGTAGAGATGTGAAGTATATAAAGAATTTTTAAAATATGTTGTTTTGTTGTTACGATAATAAAATATTAATAAAACATGAGCCTGTTTAATTTTGTATGTACAAGAGTTTTTGTAACAAAAAAAATAAAGAATATATGCATTTTGTAGAGTTAATTGTCTCACGTGTATCCTATTAATCCTAAAGCGATTTATAACTCTTTTAAAAATAGTTATATCGTAAAATTTAACGATTTACCGCTAATCGAAAAATTATCTAATAAGTGTAACTCGCTTTAGAATCGGTCAATTTTAGAAATATTCACAGGATACATAAAAACACAGAAAAACGGATCTACAAAATGTATATATTTACATTTTTAAAAACACACTTTTATTAAAATCTAGATAACATTTTAATTCGTATTTAGAATTCGCGTTTAAACAGGAGAAAAAAAAAAAGAATAATTTAAATTCTCCTTATAAACTCGTTTTATAACATCACATACCCCATTTCTCTATATCTGCTAGAAAAATTTCAGAGCTTTTTATGTTTGGTGTAAAAAAAACAAAAAAAAAATGTAATTCGATTTGAAAAAGTATCTCGACCATTATTCTGTAGAATCTTGAATGTGATAAATATTTGAGATTCTTAATATAATATCGTTATATATATATAGTAACGTATTAGACATTAAATAATAGAAAGATTCGTATTCTTTCGTTGAATTTGATCAGATCAATGGTGGTGTATCCATTGAGGTTCACGTGAGTTTTGACTCTCTCGAAAGTTGCTGGCAGAGAGATATCTGGGCCAAACGACCGCTCATGACAGGGAAGAAATATTGCACTGGTCGGTCCGTGTCGTTGTTGCAACCGATCTTTTATCCCCGTTTCGTTTTTGTCCCATTTTCTTGCGTTCTCGCCGTTTCTCGTTTGTATTTTTCGTTTTTCCCTTCCCTTCCCTTCCCATCCCTTTCTTTTTCTTTTTTTTTTTGTATTCTTCAAGCGTGGCGGCTGCGGTGCCGGATACGGTCTGACACTGACGCGTACGTAATGACTTCGTGGAACGTCGAATGTCGTGTAACGCGAAAATACGGGGGATGAAGAATGCGAACGAATCGTAAAATCATACGCGCGTTGATCTTTAACGCCCATCGTTATCTTTAACCTTAACGACGCGATCGTTACGATAAATAATAATAATACCATAAGTGGGATAATCCACAGAAATATTTGACACCAATATTTAAGAAACCTTTCATTCTTTATGATAATCCTAGGATGAAGAGATACGAGGTGGTTGTGGTGGTGGTGATGGTGGTGGTTATGGTGAAGGGAGAAACTTGGGTTGTAATCAAGATCGTATTGACGTAGGAGGTATCTAATTTCCGTGAACGATAAATTTGTGAGAGTAACGACGACGACAAGAGTAGCATTCCCCGTCATAATCGTCCGATGATTTACGCGCGTTTTTATTTTCTAAGAAAATATATTGATAAAGAGTACATATCATACATACGTCTGTGTGGTTAAAATAGGGTATAATCAATGTGTGTGATATCTAACATAAACGTTTCTCTCGTTACGTCTGGTCGAATCAAAAGATTCTATACTTCTCTACCTGTACACAACAAAACTATGCGATACAATAATAAAAAAAAAGATAGACACTTTTGCCGGATGCGAGAGAGAGTTAGATTCACCGGAAATTGTTTACGTCTTTCATCCACCGGTAAACGAGGTACATTGTTATCGGTTACTGGCAACGAATTCCACTCTTCATCCTCACCCCCACCCCCACCATACCCCACCCCACTTCTATCGATGTGTCTCTCGTTCGAAGAAAACTGATAAGAACAAAATAATTGATGATACGATCGAAACGAGAAAAGGGGTTTCAAGTATTAAACAAAAAAAAACCTTCTAAAACCAACAAGCCGTAGTATTCTCCTCCTCCATTTTCGTCCACTTTCCTATTTCTTTTAACCTTTTATTGTGTTAGATAAGAATATAGAGAAAGAGTAGAATAAGATAAAGAATAAGATAAAGAATAAGATAGGAAATGATAGGTATAGTGATACCTTGCAACTTAAGCCGATCAAGAATCGGATCGTACGATCAAATCGTCTCGGTTCGTCGAGGAGAAGACGTCCTTCAGGAATTTTATTTCAACGTGGATTAACGATCGCAACATTGGGGGAAGGGGGAGGGGAAGTGGGAGTGGGTGGAGGATTGGGTGGAACGGAGGGGGGAGGAAGGATGTGGGTGCGGTAGAGACGAGTCTTTGCCCTTCGGGAAATCACGAATTATACATTTTTCAATTAAATACATTGAACCTACCGGCCCATGGGGAAATACCGTGGCGAGGCGACGAGCATTGCTTTTGGGCACGGGAAGAATAGATTTTTCTTATTTTTGTTTTTTTGTTAAATATCATTTTTATACGTAATTTTTGTCTCCTTTTTCGATCCATTCGCGGCTCTTCCTTTACAAATTATCGAATAAAGATATTTTGTCGTTGATTTTTGTTTTATTGTTTTATACACGAATTTCTATAATATAATAACGTCAATTTATTTCTATTATTTTTATTTTATTACCTTTATATTATTCGTTAAGATTATGTTTTCTGTTGAATGAAAAATTTTTGTATTAAATAATTCTTGAAATGCAGACGCGTGTTATACCCGTTTTCCAAATGATGGTGTACGAGTGCTGTTTGCTGATGGACACGCGTTGAAATATGTCTCTATGTGATATATATCTCTACCATCCGTAGAGAACGTGTATCGATTTTAATAAGCGAAGTAACGCAAACCGTGTACCGGTATCAGATTGTAAAGCGCATTTAATACCTCGTTTTCTCCAATCGGTCGTTTCCCGGTTTTTTCTTTTTTTTTTTGTTTGCAAGTTAGTTTATTTAATCGCTTGATAAATTTTTACGAGACTCTAGGAAAAAAAACAAAAATAAACTTGATCCTCGTTTATATTTGTTTCTTTTTTCCTTTAATTTCTTTTTTTTTTGTCTTAACCGATTTAATAATTGTAATTTATCGACCCCACATTGTTTTATATTTTATTATCTACTTTTCAGTACAAATAACGTTAATTTCTTTCCAACACATTTATTTTTATAATTCAAATCAATATCGTATATCCATACATATCTCTACACGCTATATTACTTTATTTGATAAATATTTTTTTTGTATTCTTCGAAGAATGACATTTTACTGTACCAAGTTACAGAATCGATTCTGTCCCGATGTCACGAAGAGAGTATCACATATTTGTTTTTTTTTCTTCTTCTTCTTTCGTTATCATAGTAGCAGAATACTGAAGTTCTATATGGGAACCGATGAAACGTTGTATTTTAAATAATTTGTTTTTTTTTTGTCTCTGTTTTGCGAGAACTTTGTAAACAACGAAACGAAATTATATATTATATATATATATATAGAAAAATATGTGTGCGCGTGTGTATATAAAAGAAAGGAAGGAAAAAAACGAAAGAAAAAACTAATAGCACCTATTGTATCGTTTTTCTTGCCGTAATTCAAAGTAATATCACCTAAATTAATTATCCCCCCGGTGGATGGCTCTGGGAAACTTTTCACAAAGGTAAATACGTTTTACACGCGAGAACAACGTTCGTTCTAAAGTGGAGAACGCTCGAAATGTTTTTTAGCGAAATGATTTTTGTTCGGTGATAAAGATGATGAAAACAGCTTTTCGTTTCGGTCAGAAAAGTGGCCGGATGTAGAGATACGTCGTTCAATTAACAAATAGAAATATATTCATTTATCCGTTAGAGTTTTTATTCGTTTCTATGAAAAATTTGATAAAAATAATTTATCGGTCATATGTTAAGAGATTATATTTTCGATATTTTTATAAATTTTGAATTGTTTTTTTACCACGTGCACGCAATTTCTTCAAATATTTAGAAAAAATTTAAGAAAATTTCTATAGCTTTGAAATTAAAAGCTGAATTAAAATGAAATAAATCGTTATAATATTTTTTTTTCAACCACGAATAATAACTTTGTTTTTATAACAAATTTCTAATAAATTCTGACACACCGAGTTATTGAATTTGATAGAAATAAATACTCACTTTAATCAATTATTTTGAAAATAATCGTTTGTTAGAAGATTGTTTCTTTTCTTACAGTGTCTAAATTAGAAGTAACTGTTTCTCAATGTTGTTTCTTCAGAAGAAATAAAGAAATAAATAAAGAAAAATATAAAATAAAAGGAGAAAAAAAAGAAAATAACGAAGGGTTGAGTGTGCCGATCGGTCGGTCGCATTCGCGTTTATCTGTTGGAGAAAAGGAGATCATTCAAAGTTCTTGAAGCTGCGAAGCTTGTCCAAAGAAACGTTCGTGAAGATTTTCGGTCTTGTTAGGAGGTAGTTTCGAGTGGGTAAAACCTATTTTACCAAGGCTAAAGTTTTGTCCTTTTGCTCATTTCAAAGTCCGCAAGGTTCTTC